AGGTCCCCAATCCTCTGGGTGCACGTCTTCCTTTCCTGCTAATGAAACTATCTCCGTCATTGCAAGTGTGTCCTGCTAGTCTTTCATCAGTGAGCTTTAGCATCCTCTTGAAAGGAGTCCTGAGACCAGGCAGAGAAGTTAGGGAGACCACAAAACAGAGAGAAGAGGCACTACATCCAGAGCATCCAGGCAGCTGAGAGCTCTCTACTATTCTGAAATAGCAAGAGAGCCTGTGCCACCGTCCCCAAGTGAAGACAACCCGCTCCCAAGCCACGTCAATTCTACAAACACTCCAATACCTAGAGGGAGAGGAAAAGGCATTATGTCCAGTTGATTTGTTGATTGCTAATAATACTTTTCATCAAGAAACCCAGGCAAGAAATTCTTTTCACTTTCAGAATTAGCTGTGACTGTCATTTTCCCATGTGTCAAATATCAAGTTTGCACCATGGGGTCCACTCAAGCCTGAGAAAGGGGTCGTCTTTAACTTTCCACATTTCTTGTTGCCTAACTTTGCCCCAGCAACAGTCGCGTGTCCAGGTGCTTGCAGACACAGGGGGCCCGCCATGCTCCCACACACAGCTCTCTCCTTTAACAGAACCCAATCCAGTAGAGATTTTCTGGGCATATACTGAACTGTGAGGTACTTTGCTAAACTCCGTGGAGCCAAAGATGAAAATGGTACAGTACTTGCTTCAAGGAGAAGAGAAAGAGGCACAAAACCCAGTGCTGCAGGCAGACTGGGGATGTGCTAGAATAAGGTACAAGAATCTCAGTTCTTTGAGCCATTACCAATCAGCACTGCGCTTATTCAAGTCCTCATGCGTGATGACCTCACTCCCAGTCCGAATCCCACTGCTCGCTGCGCAACTGGCCACCTACAACTTCAGGAAAGGAAAGGGAGCACAATCCTTACATCTCCCTGAGTCCGTTATAACCAGTTACAGAGCCAATACAATCTCGCTATAGGTCCCATATCCTATCCCACCCTCTCTCCAAAGTCTCACATGGAAGGAAAGTAAGGAGAAAGGAGAAAGTGACCTTAGGAATGTAAATCGGCAGGACAATGGGAAAAGCAGAAGAATGATGGAATAAAACACACATGCAAATTAAATCTAGAACTTTCTTCTAGTTCGCTCTAAGAGAACTCAGCAGAGGACTGAATGTGTGATCTTCAGGAAAACTGGTGAAGTGATTGTTCAACTCAGCCTTAGAGGTTGGCATTTCTGAGGGCTCTTTCTACAGAGTCCAAGATAAATAAGGTGGGGTCAGAGGGCAGACACCCCACCAATAATAAGAGCTGAATAACCAGCCAGACCAGAGGGGCCGCAAGAAGGAGCCCACGTGTGCCAACACCTCACACGATGCCTGCACAGGTCAGCAGGTGGGAAGGCAACGCGCCCAGTAAGAACAGCAGGAAGGGTTCAGACACAGCTCCAGACATTTCCAAGCTCGGTGCCGTTACACAAAGCACTTCTATTCCGAGTGGACACACACTACGTCTTATTGTTACAGGGATAGTCACGTGAGATGAAAAACATACATACATTAACTCATCCAGGTTCTGCAGAAAGACAAAGGGTAGCCCTGCCCTCACCCTCCAGCTGAGGCCTTGGCACAGACCCCGGCCGCAGAACAGGTGCATACAAATCTCGCTTCCCTGTTCTCGTCCGTGGTAAGCTAACACAGGAAAATGGGTGTACAGAGCTGAGCTGAATATTGACTTACAAATACTAACCCATGTACTAACGTATTCAAATGGGAAGGGAAGCGGGAGTTTGGGTTGCTAATATTTGGATAAAGGTCTGGTGACTGTGCTTGCAGAATGTGTCACACTTGAAGTTCGGTTTGGAAAATACGGCCACCATCAGGGTAGGTTGTTATGGTTCCCTGATTAAGTAGATATTGCCTAGTGAAAAGACAGATTCATTAAATAACCCAGCACCCAGTTATGTGGAAATGGTTTACATGGATAAAGCACTGTATGTTCTGAGTCCTAGATAAAAAAAAGTATTTCACTTTCCCCCTTCCTTCCCAGACTCTTTTTTTTTTTTATCCTCACCCGAGGACATTTTTTCATTCTTCATTCAGACAGAGTGGGAGGGAGGGAGAGAGAGGAAGAGAGGGAGAGAGAGGAAACATCGATGTGAAAGGGACACATCAAGTGGCTGCCACCCACACGACCCAAACAGGGCCGGGGACAAACTGCAACTGCGGTACGTACCCTTAGCAGGAAGCGAACCCGGGTCTCTCTGGACCACAGGCCGATGCTCTAACCGCTGAGCCAAAGCGGCCAAGGCCCTGCCCGGACTCTTATACCCGCTCCCCCCACACCCCTTTGCCCACCATGCCTCCTCTAGTGGGAGCAGGAAAGACTCCTCTCTACTGGTATGAATATGCATTTGGTTTGTGACTGCAATAACCCTGTAAACAGAACAGTCATTAAAATACTAACTGATAATAGGACACCTGTGTTTCCTGTTCCAAGAACTCTATACGTTCAGATTTCCCTCAAGGTTTCAGCCTTCTTTTCTCCATCTGAACATTCTCATTCAACCATCCCCAGATTGCTCGTCCAGAGAGCTGTTGGGTCCTGACCGTGCTGCTGGCTCTCCACTGTCGGCAGACACCTCCACACGAGTGCCCAGTTGGTCCCTCAAACCCACAGGAGTCTTATAACACGACATCATCATCCCCTTCGAACTTCCTCTTCTTCTGACTTCCCTATGCTTATTGGCACACTATCTTTGTAGACACTCAGGTTCTAAAACCAAGTCTTCATGTCAAATAAGCCACAAAGTCCCTCCCTTCTTCCTCTTTTCAATCTGTGCAATCCATTCTGTTCACAGTTTGACTGTTACTGGCCCCAGGTCATTTGCAAAACCTCCCAACTCATCTCCCAGACTTCAGTCCCCTCCACTCCAATTTAGCCTAACCAGAAAGAGCTTTCTAAAGCACAAGATACTCCACCTCCTTAAGTGCCTTCAATGGTTTCACACTGTAACCAAGATGAAATTTAAACTTTCTGCATAAAATTCAATGTCTTCTACACTGTGACTCCAGCATAACCTTTTAGACCAGTTTGTGATCCCTTCACAAACTCTATGTTCCAGCCAAATTAAATCCGTCCTGGTTCAACTTTACTCTGCTTTTTATGTCCTTATAGTTCAGTCCAGTTCGAGGCAAATAATTTGTAGGCACTCATCAGCACCAGTTGAATGAGAACAGGATTTAGGTGTGAATTGCACTATAAAGTTCTTTCAATTTTTCTGAATGTTTGGAAATGTTTATAATCAAACACTGGGGAAAATATTAGTTAAGTAAATGACATAATCTCTTGAGAGTTGGGTTATCTCCTCCTCAAAGAACCTGGGGAGCAACTTAGAGACAATGGGAATTATGTCTGAAAAAGCAAATTCTTACCATCTTATCTTTCCGATATCCTTGTGTCTCATCTCTAAACATTTTCTCTATATTCCGATTCTAGTGAGCAGCTATCTTCAAATCGCTCCAGCTATACATTGGCTCAAATGTTTATTTAGTTAAATATTTATTTAGGTTAAAGCAAAAAAAGAAAAGCATGTGGCTTCTAGCTCAAGGTGTACCTGGAGGTGTCTCTTTGGAGGAAGAGAAATATCAATAGTCTGGCTTCAGTTCATTTATGTTTAGGAGCATAAGTTTTTATCAAGAAAGCACCCGACTACTATCCTAAGAACTGAGTCTATTATTGCTTAAATCACTGAACTTGCAAATATACAGCATAAAAGTTCAAACTCCATTCCTGGTTTTGGCCAGGGAGGTACAGTCCTCAGCTTTCTGCCTCGCTTACTCCTCTCCCAAGTCAATACAGATATGGATGAGTCATTCTTCTAGAATAGCTTTCCTGATTATAAGACACTTCTCTATGTACATTCTTCTAAATGTTCTTGGTTCTCCATGAACACGCCACATCATTAAACCTCTGGAAATGTTAAACTAAAATAAACACGTTCACTCTTGTAAATGAACTATACTTCCTACAGGCATTACCTATTCACCTTGGGGGTTCGGGTGCTAATAAACAGGTAAGGGATGTTGTTCTCTGAGGCAGTAGCTACACTCTTCCTCAGTCATCGTCTTAGCTCTGGGGTGGCATTCAACAATTTGTTTTCCTTTGACAAATACTATGCTTCCCGGAACAAAAACACAATCATTAACAAAATAGGAAGAAAGAGGGAGAGAGAGAAAGAAACATTCAATGAGAGAGGACATGGATTGGCCCTCCTGCATGTCCCCCACTGGAAATCGGCCCACAACCTGGGCATGTGCCTTGGCGGGAATGCAACAGGAGACCACTTGGTGCCTGGGTGGATGCTCAACCACTGAGCCACCCGGGCAGGGCAAGGCTTAGGAAATTTAAATAATCTGTTCAAGGTCACCAACTAGCAAAAGGCAGAACTGGGATTTCAATCCGTAAATATGCCCAAACCCATTTTCCCCATGACACCAAGCTGACCTGAAAGGTACTGGGTGTGTCCATTTCACACAAGTCTGCACATCCACCGGCTCCTACGGAGGCCCCGCAAGGCCCCAAGCCGCCTGCAGGGAGCCGTCACCTGTCCGAGCCCTGGTTTCCTCCTGATCTTACACTCCGTTTCTGGGGTGCTCACCTTTCGCTCAAGCCAAGTCTCCTTTCGTGGGGCGCACTCAAACCAAAGGCATTTTCCGCTCTCACGTCTCCACAGCACCCCGCAATCAAAACATCCCAAAGGGCCGTGATGAGGGGGGAAGGGGATGGTGTTCCCTCCTCGCACCAAGACTAACAGGGGACCCCACTGCTTCATGCTTCCAGAGGGGCTCCCGGAGGAGGCGGCGACTCCGGATCTGGAAGAAACCCGGTGCGCCCGCCTGGGATCCTGCCAGGAGCCCTCGGGAGTGTCCCCTGGGCTGGGCACACCCAGAGCCGGGGGCCAAGCCGCCCCAGCACCCCAACCTAGCAACACTGAGCCGGCCAAGCCCACCTGACCCCATCTCGTTCCACCTCGATGTCTTCCGCCTGGGTGCTGAGGGCCCCGGAGACCACCCTCCCCGAGCTCGCTCCGCGTGTCCGGCCGCGCTGAGCACCCGCCCCGCGGCTGAAGCCGATCCCCGCGGACCGCGCAACTTACGCAGGGCAGCGGGCGCTCCCTCCCGCCGCGGGGCCCGCAGACCCGATCCCGCCATCCCGCCGCAGCAGCAGGCGACTGGGACAGCGCTTCCCCTCGCACCTCCGGGTCACCAGCGCCCCGCAGGACTCCAGCTCTGAGGGCTCCCTCAGCGACTCACGTGACCCAGACCGAGCGGGCCCAAGGTAGGCCCCCACCTCCCTCCCTGGCCGGGCCTCGCCCACTCAGCTGTCCCGTCTGGGAGCCGCTTATCTTGCAAAGAAACAGAGCGCTTGGCCCTGGTGCAGCTCCGTGCTTGTTCCTTTGTGCATTTGGGTGTTCTCTACTTTTTATTTATTTCTTTATTTTTTTATTGTTGAAAGTATTACAGATGTCCTCCCACCCTTTTTCCCCAGTGATCCTCTCCTCCCCTCTCGCACGCCCTCCTGCTTTTCCCAAAGCTGCTGTCTTACACCTGAACTTTTCTGAAACAGCCGGTGGGAGAAGGACCAGTACCATATGATTTCACTTACATGTGGACTCTAATGAACAAAATAAACTAACAACCAAAACAGAAAACAACCCATAGATTCAGAGAGAGGGGAGGAGGTTGGGGGTCTGGGTGCAAAAGGTGAAGGGATTAAGCAAAAAAAGAAAAGTCATAGACACAGACAACAGTAGGTGATTACCAGAGTCAGGGGGCTGGGGGAGGGAGAAGACCTTAGAGGGATAAATGGTGATGGAAGGAGACTTGTCTCGGGTGGTGAACACACAATACAGTGTACAGATGCTGTATTATAGAATTGTACACCTGAAACCTGTCTGATTTCTATTAACCAAGGTCACCCCAATATATTAAATTTTAAAAAAAAACAAAAAACCCTTTACAGTTAAAAAAAAAAAAAAAGCTGCTGTCTTAGAATGTCAACACTGTTTTGAAACTATTTCCCCCATAGGTGCCTGCTGGCAAGCCGCTGTTTGCATCTAGAAGCCGAGCCGTGTTGCGTCCCACTGTGTAACAAGCCCACGTGCAATCCTGGCGAGGCCACGTTCCAGTCACTGGATCTGAGACGACACTGAGTGCCGAGAGAGTGCCAAATGCTTCCTCTGCGTTATGCACAGGAGTCTTATAGCAACTTGATGTGTTATTGCTATAATTATCCCCATTTTGCAGGCAGGAAACTGAGATTGAGAGAGGTTAAGTATCCCATTCAGAGCTACATTTCTTGTAAGTGACTTGAGTACTTATTATTAATAATCATCACCGAGTGCTGGGCACTGAGCCAGACACTGAGGGAAGACAGAATTAAAAGGTAAGGAGATTGCAAGGAGATAAGACAATATACAAAATCCTTCCTGTGTCTGAATCCCCCAAATGCCCTGCGGTTCAGAGATGGCACAGTTATTTAGAAGCCCCCCATCTGGCTACTTGGCTTTAAATCCCGTCTCTGCTACTTAGCTTCTAGCTCTGATCCTTTTTTTTTTAAAGGTGATCAAAAAAAAAAAAAAAAAAAATCACCATGCTCCCATGCTCCTCTGCAGAGGTGGAATCTGTTTTCCCTCTCCTTAAATCAGGCCTGGTTTTGTGACTGGCTTTGACCATTAGAATGTGGACAAATGCCAGTTCCATCGCAGGAATCAAAAAACTTTGCAGCTTCTGCTTTGAGACTGCCGCCGTGTAAGTGCCATGCCAGAAAGCCAGGTTGGCGCTGGAGAGACAGGCTCCGTGCAGGAGGACTGAGGCCGCCCAGAGACAGCAGCGCCAGCTGGGAGACTGAGGGGGGAAGCCCTGGCCACCTCCCAGTTCGCGGCCCCTCCGCCCAGTGCAGCTGCCTGGGTGAGCCCAGGCGAAACCAGCAGCACAAAGGCCCAGCCAACCCACCAATCAGGGAAAAAACCAATCACTGTTGTTTTAAGTCACTTGGTTTGTTCCACCTCTAAGGCTACTTTAGCACTGACTTTGTGACCTGGAACAAATTGCTCAATATCACTGAGTCTCAGTTTTCTAAGTACCTACTTTATTGGGTTGTGATGAGGACTGAATGAGAAGCTACACACCAATCACCTGGCCTGGAGTTCGTGCAGCCACCGCTATTTGTATTGTACATAATCCCACTGATACCTTTATGGAGAAAAATGTGTTGGTGGGGAAAGTATTTCCCTTTACGACCAACATCAGCCCACTGGTGTTAAACTATCAAATAAACTAGGTTCCACCTTGCTACACTGACAAATATAGCTTCATTATGACCTGAAAAACCAAGTTCAAATTCCTGGATGATCTGCGCCTAAACGGAATGGTGCAGGAGAGCTGATTTCCAGCCCTGGTCTGCAGCCACCTCCTCTTTTCCCATAAGCTCCAGCCCCAAAGGGGGAGCTCAGTCCTCCTTCCGAGAAGCAGCCGCGGCCCTGGCCACCTCTTGGGCCTGGGAATGTGCACATCAGTTGCAGTGTTGTCTGCCATGGGAGTACAGATGCTGCAGACACCTGGTGTGCAGGCCCTTGAAGGAGGCCCAGTGCCATCTGCAGAGGCAGTCTGGGGACCCTGGGTTCTCAAACAAGGTTCAGGGAGGTGTGGATTTAGGGGCAGGGGGAACAATGGATGCAGCCCCATTGGGGAGGAACACAGCCATCAAGGGCCAGAAGGGTGCCTTCTGAAATGTGGGCCTTGGGCAATGGCCCCTTTGGCCTACGTACAAGGACAGTTACTGGCCAAGGATTACCTGCACCCAAATTGAAGCCACTGTAATGAAAAACAAACTGAATTTTACAGTACATGTAAAATGAATCATACTTTAGTGTACCTATTCAAAGACAGGGTATTGCAAAATTCTTACTGAACTTTTCACAACTGCAGAGGTATAAATGCTGCAACTTACAAAAACACATCATTTGAAAGTTTAAATGTAGTTTACACTTATTTAGTGTTGTGAATTTTGAGTAACACGTTTTTTTTTAATCCTCACCCAAGGACATTTTTGCATTTATGTTCAGATAGAGAGGGGAGGGAGAGATGAAGGAAGAGAGAGAGAGAGAAACATCGATGTGAGAGAGACACATCGAGTGGCTGCCACCCACACAACCCCAACCGGGGCTGGGGACAAACTGCAACCAAGGTATGTGCCCTTAGCAGGAACCGAACCCGGGATTCTCCGGTCTGCGGGCCAACGCTCTAACCGCTGATCCAAACTGGCCAGAGCGAGTAACACATTTTTTAATGTAATTTTTTAATTTTAGTTCCCAAGTGAAAAATGGCATATGTTGACTAAAAGGAAAAAAAAAATTACAACTACATTTGTTCAAATAATTAAAACTTAGAGTCAAAAGAAGTATGCTTTCAAATGACAGTTTTGAAAGTTTGTAGCATTTATACTTTTGAAGTAATTAAAGCTTAAAACTGCACTAACATTCCTGGGACACCCAAATGTGTGCACAGCTCACCTTTATTTCAATGTTTAATGTTAGAAGCCTTTGGGGACTGTGTTTAGAAGTTTGGTGATGTTTTTGTGACCAGAAAAAGGCTGTAAGAACTTAATGCTTCTATATACCAATTAGCCTATGGTGAAATTGGTTTTGTTTTACTTCATTTCTCTTAAAGTCACAGTTTCCAAGAACCTATAGGCAACATTAAGTGAGGACTTAGTGTAGTTGGGATAAAAACCGTATTTCTGCCCTGGCCAGTTTGGCTCAGCGGTTAGAGCGTCGGCCTGCGGTCCGGAGAGACCTGGGTTCGGTTTCCGCTAAGGGCATGTACTTCGGTTGCAGTTTGTTCCCGGCCCTGGTTGGTCGTGCGGGTGGCAGCCACTCGATGTGTCCCTTCATGTCGATGTTTCTCTCTCTCTCTCTCCCTTCCTCTCTCTCCCTCCAACTCTATCTGTACAAAAAATGGAAAAATATCCTCGGGTGAGGATAAAAAAAAACTGTATTTCTTACTATGAGATGTGGTCAAAATAGCTTGAATGCTACTACACTGGAAGTCTTTTAAATTTTTCAAATACGATAGATATATTGCTTATTTTTCTTTTCATGAGCATAATACATGATTATAGAAATATGAGGATGTACAAGATGATCGGATAAAAACCCCATGTGACTCCTCAGAGATCACCAAATGATGTATTTCTGTCTAATCTTTTATCTGTACAAACATGTGTTACAAACACAATTGGAATCATATTATATGGAATTATTTATTCTGCTTTTAGCAGTTAGCATTATCTCCCAATTATTTTCACACGTTATTAATTCAAAACCGTAATTTTAACGGCTGCATAATGTTTAATCATAGGAATGTATTATAATTTATTCAACCATTTTCCAACATCTGATCATTTGGGTTGCTTCCAATTTTTCCTTATTAATTCACTAAGAAATAGTCTCATATAAAAATTATGTGTATCTGATTAGTCCCTTGGGAAAGGAACATCTGGAAAGCAGGATTACTGAGTCAGGGGGTCTTTGGAAGTTTATCTAGGTTCAAAGACGAGAACTCTGTTGGTCAAGTGTTTTACTTCACAGGGTGCAGCACTGCAGGGTGGGGTGCAGGCGGTGCCTGTGGGGGGGGCCAAGTTGCTAAAGTAAAAACAATTCCTGCAAAAGGTGCTAAGGGCTTGGCTCAAGTATGTGGTAGGCCCTCTGTTGGTTTCTAGATGTGCCCTAACGAATTATCACAAACTGGGTGGTTTAAAACAACAGAAATTTCTTCTTTCACAGCCGTGGAAAGTCTGAAATCAAGGTGTTGGCAGGGCTGAGCTCCGTGCTGAGGCTCTGGGGGAGAATCCCTTCCAGCCTTTTCCAGCTCCCCCAAAACGTGGCGTCTCTTTCCTTGTAGCTGCATCACTCTGCGCTCTGCCTCCGCCTTTCCGTGGCTTTCTTCTTGGCGTGTCTGTTCCTGTTCACGTGGCTCACCAACCATTGCATTGAGGGCCTGTCCGAACCTAGTCTGACCTCATTTTAACTAATCACATCTGCAAAGA